GCACTTTGCTGCAGGAACTTCAAGTGTTATTGTTTTTGTGAGTGTAAGAATTCAGCAAACAACAATAACCACAACAATCCCGCTATGTAGGGCCAGCTATATGAATCCTTTTTATATATTGTGTCTTGGTAGGAGTCAAATTCTGATGGAAACTAGAAAGATCTAAACCCAATGGAGAACACAAAAGAAAGTAGTACACGACTCAATCCAAAACATAGAAGCAAGTCACCAAATAAACATGAAATAAACTAATTTTTTTTTAGAAGAAAGAAAAAAAAAACCCTCAGAACAATCAACTAGTTGTTACCTCACATGTAATGATAAATTAGATAACTAGAATGCTCAAGGACATGCAAACCAGTGGTCCACCACAATAACTTTGATCCAACGTCCGCCACAACTCCTCTGGAAAATACCAACAAAACTGACCAATCAACACCACTCACACATTTAGAAGAAGGATACAATGGGGTGAAAATTTGTGGAGAGAAGAATTAGATAGAAGTCTTAGAAGAAGAAGTAAGATGAGAAGAAGTAGCTCTCAAGCTAGAGAAGAAACCCTCAGGTTTTAGAATTCTTTTTACCTCCAAAAACTCCCTACAATAGCCCAAAACACCTCCTTAATTAGGAAAGAAAAGGAGGCCAACAACCAGCAACAACCGCCCATACGCCAACCAAAAAAGGGAAGAAAAAGGCAGCAATTAAGGTCCGACTGATGCCCATAATCCAAAACACCACAGCTAGAAAATTCGGGAAAGCCAAGGAACAACAACATGACCCGAACAGCCAGGGAACAGCTAGCAACAGGACCCGAACAGCCAGGTCAAGGAAATCGGGAAAACCATAGAAACCGAACAACCACCAAGCAGACGGCAGCCCATCTGCCCCCATCAAACCCAAATCAGCCCAAACACAAGCACCCAAAGAAGCCAGCACACCAAAGGAATAACAGGTCCAAAGAGCACCTAAACCACACATGTTCATCGGTTGCCTTCCATCATTGGGTAAACAAAAGTTAAACTAAAAAATTATAATAACATAAAATAAATGTATTTTAAAACATGAGCATGAAGTATTGAATGCATCAATTCCCCCCAGGTGGGAGAATCTCATCTTCTGATGAGAATGCTTCACTAATGCATTGGTAGATATCAGGACGACGAGATTGAAGTTCCACTGCTTCAACACAAGGACAATCAGTCAATAGACGTCCACTCCATTTTACTAGGAATCGCTTGTGCGCTCCATGCCTAGTCTGGGTAGTCCTAATGTCCAAAACATTTTCAATATGATCATCTTTAGTCTGAACTGGATTGGTAACGGGTAAGGTCTCTAAATCCACAGAATCAGCTGAATTTCCTTCATATAAAGTAAGGTCAGCAACATTAAACACAGGTGAAGTTCCAACATAAAGTGGAAGATCCAGTAGGTAAGCATTTGTTTCCAATTTTCGAAGTATCTGAAAAGGCCTAAGTGTTTTTCGGCTTAACTTGCCAAAAGTTCCAACATGAAAGGGCTGTCGTCGAAAATAAGCCATAACTAGTTCACCATCTTGAAAGTAACACTCTCTCCGTTATTTGTCAGCAACAATTTTGTATTTAGTATTTGCCATTTGGAGTTTTTCTAGGACCTGATGTTGGATTGATTTAATTTGATCAACAATTTTTGTAGCTTCAGCACTGATTTTATTAGGCATTGGTAAATAAGTTTGGTCTAAAATATGAGGAATAGGTTGGCCATAAATGATTTCAAAAGGGGTCTTTCCCGTAGATTGGTTAATAGAATTTTTGTAAGCAAATTCGGCTTGGGGTAAAATCAAATCTCATTGAGAAGGTTTCTCACTAGCAATACATCTAAGCAAGTTTCCTAAACTTTTGTTGACAACTTCACTTTGCCCATTTATTTGTGGGTGATATGCATTATTGAATTGGAGATTAGTCCCTAATTTTGATCAAAATGTTCTCAAAAAATGGCTTAAAAACCTAGTATCCATCAGAGGTGAAAGTCCTGGGTATACCAGGGAGTCTCACAATTTCTTTAAAAAATAGATCAACAATATGTGAAGCATTAGAGTTTTTTTTTTACAAGGAATGAAATGAGTCATTTTTTTAAATCGATCAACAACAACAAACACAGTAAAATTTTCGAGCAGTAACAGGTAGTCCTAAAATGAAGTTCATGGAGATATCCTACCAAGGTTTATTCGGAATTTGAAGAGGAGTATATAAATTAGTGTTTTGAGTTGTTCCCTGGAAATATTGACAGATTTTACATTGTTTCACAAATTTGATGATTTGTTTTTTCATGTGGGGCTAATAATATTTTTCTTTAGCTAAAGCAATGGTTTTTCCTTGGCCAAAATGTCCCCTAATCCTCCATTGTGAAGTTCTTGAACAAGTTGTTCTCGTAGAGAGCTTTGGGTGATACAGAGTCTAGTTCCTTTAAACAAAAATCCTTGTTGAATGATAAATTGAGCAGAAAGATTAGTTCCCGAAGTGCGATTGATTCCCAAATATCTTTAAAATTTAGATCAGTGGCATAATTTTCGTTTAAGAAATCTAATGAAGTTATGTTTGGGTAAAGGGTTACCAATAAATGAGCTCGTCTACTTAAAGAATCAACAACTTTATTCACCACTCTAGCCTTGTGTTTTAAATGAAAAGAGTATTCTTGTAGGAAAGATGTCCATTTGGCATGTCTTTTACTTAAGTTCTTTTGAGATCTTAAAAATCGTAGTGCTTCGTGATCAGTGTTTAACACAAATTCCCTTTGAATAAGGTAACATCTCCAAAATTTCATGACCTGGACAATTGCATAGAATTCCACATCATATGTTGAATATCGAGATTGAGAATCGTTGAATTTTTCATTAAAGCAATTGCTCAACCTTCTTACCTAAGTATAGCTCCCATGCCAATATGGGATGCATCGCAGTCCACCTCAAAGATTTTATCAAAGTCTGGTAAGCTAAGAATGTGTGCTTGGTTCATTTTCATTTTAATTAATTGAAAGGCTTATTCAGCTTTAGGTGTCCATTTAAAAATTTCTTTTTTTAGACAGTCAGTGTTGGGTGCAATTAAAGTATTGAAGTTTTTCATAAACCTACGATAAAAGGATGCTAAATCATGAAATCCTCTTAACTTCGTTGATATTCTTCGGGGTTGGCCAACTTTGGATAGCTTTAATTTTGACAGGATCTACCTTAATACCATCAGCAGAGATAATATATCCAAGAAAATTAAACTTTATATCGTGAAAGAACACTTTTTTAAATTGATGTATAAATTTTGCTCTTTTAAGGTTTGTAGGATTTGTTTCACATGTTCAAGATGTTCATTAGGGAGTTTACTATAAATCAGGATGTCGTCAAAATAGACTACCACGAATACTCCAATGAAAGGTCGTAAAATATGATTCATAGTCCTCATAAACCGGCTAGGGGCATTTGACAATCCGAAAGGCATGACTAATCATTTATACAGACCTTTCATTTTGAAAGCTGTCTTCCACTCATCTCCAAGTCGAATCCTTATTTGGTTAATTTTGGAAAAGACTTTTGCACCACTAAGCATGTCAAGCATATCATTCAATATGGAGATGGGAAACCTATATTTGATAGTTATCTTATTTTTGCTCAACTGTCTACACACATCCACCAGGTTCTGTCTTTTTTGGGTGTAAGCAAGGCTGGGACAACACATGGACTCATACTTTCCTTAATCAAACCTTTATCCAGAAGTTCAGTCATCTGTTTAAGTAATTCCTCGTGTTCAGTAGGACTCGTCCGGTAGTGAGGGAGATTGGGTAAAGTTGCTCCAGGAATTAGGTCGATATGATGTTGAATATCTCTCATGGATGGCAATGATTTTGATAACTCTTCAGGAGTTATATTAGAATATTCTTTAATCAATGGTTGTATTGCCACGGGAATTTCAGAAGTTTACTCATATTCTTTTCCTAACACCAAATAGACTATCTTATAATTTTTTAGCTCATTCGTGTTGAGAAGTAATTCAGGAGTGGTTGCTTTTGTTGTCGATTGGGTAGTTTTCGCAGGAGGGCCAGGAGTGAATTCTTTGCTGTTTTGAGTGAGGGAGTAAGTATTATTTTCCCCATTATGAATTGTCTTGTGATCAAATTGCTAGGGACAACCAAGTAAGATATGACATATTTCTAGGGACATGATGTCACACACTACTTATCTCTATAGGAGTTTCCAATTGAGAGGTTAATAGTGCATTGTTGTGTGACAAGGACCTCTCCTACTTTAAACCAGGATATCTTGTAAGGTTTAGCAAGTGGTTTGAGTTTTTGCTTAAGTTTGCTACCATCAGTTGTGATACAAAGTTTCCTGAGCTACCACCATCAATCATAAGGGTACAAAGTTTTCCTTCAATAATGCAAGTGGTTTGGAAGATATTTTGCCTAAGCCATTTGTCCCCAGTATCAACTTTGGTAGTTAAGACCCTTTGAATAACTAAAAATTGATCCCCTTAGTCACCTTCAACATCAATCCGTTCTAACTCAATCTCATTTTCTGGTTCAGATTCAACTTCCTCCTCATTTTCTAAGGCATCCTCTTTCTCAATATAATTGATCTTAGGAGGGTTATTCTTTCTACAAGCTGCCGAAAGGTATCCATATAAGCCACATTTATAACATAGTCTAATTGACTTTGGTCCTATTACACCCTTTCCTTTATTAACGGTTTGAGTTTCATTAGGTTTTATTCGCAAATTTGGATTTGAAGAAGATGCACCAATGGAGGTTTGTGAAGATTTGATTCTAATCCCACTAGATTGTCGAAGCTTGGTTGATTCAATTGCTTTATTGTTGCCTCTTTGTTGTTGTTTTTCAATCTTTAGCGCCATTCGATAAGCTTCATTGAGTTTAATTACGTGATGTAAGTTCAATTGATCTTGAATATACCACTTTAATCCATTTATGTATCGAGTTATTGTTCGTTCTTCAGATTCATTCAAGTCATTTCTTGATTGCAGTTTGTAGAAATTTCCAGGATATTCTTCTATGGATTGATTCCCTTGATGAATATTATTATAATCTTGAAACAAAGTTCGGGAATGGTCAGAAGGCAAGAATTTTTCCTGCATTTTTACTTTCGTTCTTTCTCAATTTTAAATTTTTTCTTTCCTTCTCCTTACCCTATTGTTTTGAAGATTTTTCTACCACATTAGAGCATGACTCGTCAGTTTTAAACTAGCAAATCTAACTTTTTTGTTTTCAGGAATTTCTTTCCATTCAAAAAATTGGTCTATTTTTTCTACCCATTTAAAAAATTGTCCAGGTTGCAGCTAACCAACAAATTCGCTTACATCAATTTTAATTCCATGATCCCATTATCTATTTTGCCTATTTTGATTTCTAGGAGCTTCATCTCCCCTTTTAGAGTTTTGTGCATTGTTCAGATTTAAGGTAGCCAAAGTGTTAGGCATAGCGTCCAATTGTTGTTGTAAGTTAGCTATTTATTGCATCATTTGTTGTAAATCCCCTTGATTGTTTTGATTATTCATTTTATCTTTGATAGGGAAGACTCACACACTAACCTAGGTTCTGATACCAAATTGATGGGAACTAGAAAGATCTAAACCCAATGGAGAACACAAAAGAAAGTATGACATGGCTCAATCCAAAACTTAGAAGCAAGTCACCAAATAGACATGAAACGAACTGAATTTTTTTTTAGAAGAAAGAAAACTAAAAAGAAAATATTCTCAGAACAACCAACTAGTGATCATCTCACGGTGGCGGCTGAGTGTTCTTAGTCGACTGGCATAGCCTCCCCTTAAACTAATTAATTAATATTTGGTTAGTTCTCAAGTGATGATTAAAGTCACAGTGCTGGTAAAAAATTAAAAATGTATACTGTGATGCTCTATAGGCTGGCTTAAGATCATTTCAACTAAATTTCCTAGGTGGCGGCTGAGTATTTCTAGTCACACAGGCATTTGCGCTCACAGTATACAAATTTGCACCCTCACATTTTTTCATGAGAACGTTCTCTCTTTTGCTGTTCATTTTTTTTGAGAGATGCCAAGCCATTTTTAGAGGTGAAACACGCCACTGTCTGGCTAGTTGCAAGTTATGATAGAGTATATTTACAATATGTATGAAGACAACAGCTCAGCTGCAATATTGTTATTGATGAAATATGTTTGGTTTGGTCAAATTTGAGCAATTCTTTTGTACATTTTTTTTTTGTGCTGCTTGATATGCTGATATTTGAGACGAAGTCTTCAAGAAGCAGTTCATTCTCTTTGCCCTTGTTTCGTTCCTCTGTTTTCGTAGCTGGATTTTCCTAGGTAGCAATAATCTTGTACCTATAATGCTTTTTCATCCTGTGCTGATGGCTTTGCAGAATTGACCTTTTCTAATTTGATTGTAGTTCTCTCCTGTTTTGCTATGAATACTAGCTTCCTGTTTTAATGCCAGATTATGTTCTCTTATTATTGTTATTTTCTTTGGTAGTGATGTATAGTACTATGGGAGGCCAAACTGGGGTTACCGGGACTCCACAAAATCCTCAACCCAATCCTTTTGGGAATACATTCTACGGAGCAGGATCTGGGCTCATCCGAAGTGGTCTAGAAGCATATGGAGAGAGATTTTTGGGCTCAAGCTCCGAATTCATGCAAAGCAATGTATATAGCAATGTCCTTTGAAATGTTCATTTTGTACTATTTTTGTTGTCACATATCTTCTCTTTTACTTGGGGTGCCCTTCCAATGAAGAAATTATTCTGTGCGGACTCCGAACGTAGCTTTGCGTCTAGAGACCAATCAAAATGTGCCACGTTAGCGGTACCGAGCGCGGTATCGAGCAGTACCGAGCCTCGGTACCGAGCATATCGAGCTGCGGTAAAAAAAGGAGTGACATGACGCATTTTGGTTGGTCTTCAGATGTCCGCACATAATAATTTCTCCTTCCAATGAGATTGTGCTGTTTAACTTTAAATAACAGTGAAATATTTTAAAGTTGCACCAAGTTTAGGTTTCATAGTTTTAATTTTTGGTTATTTGTCAAAACAGATCAGTAGGTACTTCTCTAATCCACAATACTATTTTCAAGTGAATGATCAGTATGTGAGGAACAAGTTGAAAGTTGTTTTGTTTCCCTTCCTACACAGGGTAAAATGACTTCATCCTTCGGTTCTCATTCGCCTTGTTGAAAATTTGTTAAAAAGCTGGGTTATTCCACTAAGTGTAATTAATTTATAGGGACATTGGACGAGAATAACTGAGCCAGTTGGTGGCAGGTTGTCATACAAACCTCCTGTATATGACATCAATGCTCCAGATTTGTATATTCCTTTGATGGCCTTTGGCACCTACATAATTCTCGCAGGCTTTTCTTTGGGTCTAATGGGGAGGTAAGTTTGCTTATCATTTGACCTTTTTTAATGGTTATTGATTCATAATTAATTGATAGAACATCAAGATTTCATTTCATTTTTACCTTCACTTCAATCCAAACAAAACCGTAGGGGCTGTTTGGTATTGGATTGAATTTAATTTAGTAGGATTTAATAAAAATTATGTAAATCCGGATTTAGTAAATCCTGAGGCTGTTAAATTCTGAAAACTGTTTGGTATGATAAATGTTAAATCCTGTTAAATCCTAAGAAACTGTTTGTCAATAGATTGTAGGATTTGGAACATCACGACATGGGCGCTGCAGGTGATATGCCGCTCAACTGTAAATCCCGTTAAATCTGCAGAGGAATCAGATTAGGATTTACCCGGATTTAGGCGGATTTGCGGCGTAAATCCGTAAATCCAGGACTTATGTTGTCGCCGGATTTACAGTCATGCAAAATACCGTTTGGCTGGATTTAGCGTAAATCCGACTTAAATCTCCCTATAAATCTGATACCAAACAGCCCCGTAGTGTTATAATATCACAGTTCTTATGACTTACGAACTGAACTGTTCATCTTGTGCAGGTTTAGCCCCGAAGCTTTGAGCCTGCAGTTTACTAGAGGTTTGGTCGGCTGGGTTCTACAAGTAATGCTACTGAAGGGTTTGCTGTATTCCTTAGGAAGCGGCGAGGCTCCTCTTTTTGACATAGTTGCCTATGGTGGGTATGCTTATACTGGAATTTGCATTGGCGTGCTTGCGAGGCTTTGTTGGAGCTACTCATATTACTTTGTGATGCCTTTGATGAGTTTGTGTATGGGGGTTTTCTTGGTGAAAACCATGAAGAGGGTGCTTTTCTCTGAGATGAGGACATATGAAAAGCGTTCAAGCAGGCAACACTATGTCTTGCTCTTCATGGCCCTAGCACAGTTTCCTTTGTTCTTCTGGCTGGGCAATCTTGGGCTTTGAATACCTGTAACTCTTATTGTTCTCTTAGGCTACTTTTTTAACTTAAATATGTTATATGTAAAATCCAATGACTGGTTTCCAGTACTAGAAATTAGAAGAAAAAATAAGGCTTTTGGATTATTAACTGCATTTGGTGTATTATATATCCTAAAGACCTGTTTGTATTGTCAAGTTATTTCTTGGAATCTATAGTAATGCCTGATATAGTTTTGAGAAGAAAATACCTTTTTAATATGAGATGATTAGTGAATGTTTACAAGCCTATTTCCAAATGTTAATCTGTCAGTTAAATATGTCAATGCCTCTGTTGGGGAAGGATAATTTGTCCAGCTACTGAGCTCAAATAACACTCATGGTGAATCCTTTAATTCTCCTTCTGGAGTCCCTGATTCTATGGTTTCATCCTCCAATGATCAAATACTTTCTGATGATATTATTGATCAAAATGATGACTACAAGTTTCTAAAAAGAATTATAAAAATTTTAAAAATATCTCTCTTCAAACTCCTAGGATTACTAGATCTGAAACTGTTAATCTCTCCTTTCCTCTAATGCTTAAGTCCCTCATTGGAATGCCAGGGGTACTGGTTGCCCCTCTTCTAGGATCAGGGTTAAGAATATTTGTTGTAATCATTATATTTTGGTTTTGGTTTTGATTGAATCCTTCATTTCTTCTTCTAAACCTCTCTCCACTGGCCAATTTTTGAGTTTTAAATATGGTTTTGCTAACTGTTCTAACAAGATTTGAGTTTTCTGGAACCTCACCTCATCTCTCACATGATCTATGAGGAGGATAACTCTTTCCTTTCTCAGCCCCCTTCAATCAAGGAGATCCATGATACCATTAGTGCTATGAATACTGATTATGTGGTGGTCTTGATGGCTTTATTGTCAACTTTTTTCAAAAAGCTTGCTATATTATTAAAGAGGATTTGGTTGATGTTGTTATGGATTTTTTTCATGGTAATCCTTTCGGTTAACATTCTCATAAAATTTAAGCTATGTTGATGATTTTATTATATTTGCTAATGGTTATGTTAATTCGATTAACATTCTCATAAAATTTCTTCATAAATTTGAAAACAATAGTTGTTTTCATATTAATAATAACAAAAGTTGTTTTATTACTAGTAAGAATATTTCTCAGAATCAGATTAATGTCATTAGGAACACTAGTTTCATGCATAATGATCTTCCTATTAAATATCTTGACATCCCTCTTATTGAAGATAGGAAAAGATCTAACCTTTCTTATGATATTATCTCCTCCATTAAGAGGAAATTATCATCCCGGGAATATAACTATTTATCTTTTGGTGGTAGAATTATTCTTATTAATAGTGTCTTGTGTTTCCTACCTTAGGGGGTGTCAAAATCGAGTTGCGGGCCGGGTTTGGGTCAAACCTAGTATTGACCCGTTACTATTTGACACGGCCCAAATTCGAACCGTTTTTGCAGACGTGTTAGAAATGTCAACCCATACCATGTCGAGTTTTTGGGTTGACCCAACACGACACGAAACCAACTTTACCTCATGCGCGAAGCAGACAAATATGATCGTGCGGAACATCGAGCTGTCTTGAGTTCCGACCCTTAGGTTGTCCGAAGCAAACCCTAGGCCTTGGCAGCGTTGCCGACGTTGCAGGCGACGTTGCAGGATTGCAGGCCACAACCCTTGCTGGCATGCGCGCTGCATGCAAGCGTTGCAACCCTTGCCAACATTGCAACGATGAAAAAGTTATTTTATAAAGATTAATTAATTTCCATTATTGAATCGGCCTTTAGGTTCAACAATGAAAACTCTTAAAAAGGTACTTTTTGCATCTATCTAATGATCAATTGGGTTTACAATTCAAGATGTTAAGGCTTTATGTGGGATTTCTTGGTGTTAGTTAGTCTGGTACAATATTAGACTGGAGTTGCAATTGAAGGGCACGAACATCCAAGGATTCTCCTTCAGATTCAGGCGATGATGATATTGAGAGCGAGCTGCGAAAAGTATTTTCAAATATAATGAAGATGTTGAGAATAATTAGCACATAAAATAATATTATGAATGTTTAATACATTGGAATTGGTTATGATAATTTCATACATCTCATATTGATATATTTGAAAAATAATATTATGAATCATTAACCCTTAAAACATTACTGATATTCTAAAAAAAAAAAAAAAGGGTTAATGATTCAACTAACAGAATATCAGTAATTATCTTGTAGATATTACAACTAAATAATTCAACTAACGGATATTTTGTAAATGATTAAATGTATTTTTAATTATCTCATTAGATATTTAATTATTCAACTACTCATGTATGATAAGTTATACCAAGAACAACGTTGTGAAAAATCAACCGAAAGACAATAAGAATAATGTTATTATTTAATTATTATTTTTACTATTAATTACAAATTTAATAACTTTTATTTTAAATTTTTAATTATCTCATTAGATATTTAATTATTCAACTACTCATGTATGATAAGTTATACCAAGAACAACGTTGTGAAAAATCAACCGAAAGACAATAAGAATAATGTTATTATTTAATTATTATTTTTACTATTAATTACATATTTAATAACTTTTATTTTAAAATTATATTATTTAAGCTAATTATATTAATTTTTAATTACTAATTATATTACTAATTATTTAATTATATTACTACTTATTTTTTTTTGGGAAGAACCGGGGCAAAGCCCATTTTATTAAGATTAAAAAAAGATACAAAGACTTACAATAAAACAAAGACTAACAAAGACAAAGATAAAGAGTTCAACTCAATCAAACCTAATAAAAAGCCAAACATAAACTAAAAAAAACCAAACAACCTAGCAACTACAAAACCAAACACAGCAACGGTAACAAAACAGCAATGGTAATGCTCCCGTCCCAGCCAGACAACAGAACACCCAAAATTTCAGTGAAACTGAAATTTCTCAATAAGATGATGAAAATGCTTCCAGCTACACGTTTTGACTCGTATAGCGTTTTTGATAGTACTGATAGTATTCTCCATGGAGTTCCAATTGTTAGCAAATTTCCGGTTGTTCCTTTCCCTCCAAAGGTGGTACACAGTGCATCCAATCGTAAGCCAGCAGAAGTTCTTTTCCCATTTAGACAAAAGCAACTGGTTATCAATGTAATAAAAAACCTGAATCAAAGTTGGTCTAAGTAAGAAAGAGTTTAAATCAGGAATAAGATTGATAATAACATTAAAGGTAAAATCACAGTTAAAGAAAAGATGGTTGTGATCTTCCTGGGCATTATTGCAAAGGCAGCAAACCGGATTGACTTGAATAGATTTTTTGATTAACAAATCAGCAACTTTAAGTTTCTGCAGCATAACCATCCAGGTTAGAATAGAATATCTAAGCGAGTAAGCTTTATGCCAAACATACTTGTGCCAGGTAACCTCCTCTTCATGATCATAAAAGGATTTCAAAAAATTTTTAAATTTCAGGTTAAAAGAGCCATCCCAAGCCAAAACCGGTTGCTCTTTAATCTCAATGCCGCAAATAATATTCTTCAGATTATCGGGTAAATAGTCTGGAAGGGCCCAAACATCATCCCTAATACAACTATTAATAGATAACCCAGTGATCCTCTGGTTTATCTGAAAATAATCAGCTAAATTTTTCTCATTAATCCACGGGTCCCAGCATAAAGAGAATTTGGATGAAGAAGTGATATTGAAAGCTAAATGATGCTTGATTTTATGAGCAGTGGAACATATAGCTTTCCAGAATTTAGAAGCTTTGGCAACCGGAGGCTTCCAAGGAGAATAATATTTATTTTTAAACCAGTAATAAATCAAACTATCCTGAGTAAGGAAATTCCAAATAAAAGTGCAGTGATAACTGTAATAACAAGCATCAATAGAAACAATACCTAAACCGCCTTTTTGCTTAGGGATTACAGTTTTCTCCCAAGCAATCATATG